GGCGTCATCCATAGCTCAACATGTCACAGTATTTTATTTAATCAGAAAGTTTGTCCAGCAATCCTTAAGTCATACTTACATTTTCTGAAGATGAAGCTCCCTCGCCACTTTGTTCACTGTCATCCCAAAGAATGTCATCTTGTGTTTCATCTTCTGCATTAGACACGCAACACTTTAAAAACAATTTTGGAATACTATTGACTGGAACTTTTTTTTCCAAGCTTTTGATACCCACTTCACTATTATTGACACTGATGCCCTTTTTATTTGCCACTTGATATCAATATATGATTGTCTTTATTCAGCCAGGCGTCTCAGTGTTTACTGACTAGATGCGTGAATTGTTTGTTAGTTGACAGATCAAGTGGGTGTAATTGACTTGTCATACCAGTAGGAATTATCACCAGGTTGGTGTTTTTGTTCCTTAACCTGTTTCTGATTCTGTTAGAGATCACCATGAAATGCATCCATTGCAAGTGTACTCCAAGGCTTTAATAATACGCCAAGCCGACATTCCCATAAACATCCAAACCAGTCTCCCTTTAACTCCGCTGTCATCCATGCATTTTTTTTATGCCCAAACTGTTACATCTTTGCAAAAATTTTGTTTTTTCACTCTCTTTCTGTTTATATTACATATGGTGGTAATTTATTGCAGTTTTCAGTTATACACAACATAAGAGTAACACACAACTTTTCATAGCCTGTGGTTTTCATTGCCACTTATTTTCCCCTTTGAAATTTACAGTATAATTATGAGGCATATAGAAAGAGAACTGAAATTTTGTCTGCACTGCCAATTTGATTTAAATACTTATTGCTTTGGTATAGTCCAGTGACAAAATGCAGAAATTCCATGAGCTTAATTTCAAATTCCATTGGAAGTTTGTGACTAATTTTTGTCCTTTGTCATAATGATGAAGCTTTCTGCCTTCATAAACTGTTCTCACCATCCATGACTAGCCTTGAAAGGTATATTACTGTTTCTAGCATTTTCTCTTACTTTTGACATTAAGGCTTCCCTAGTTACACGGTATCCCTTATTATGTAAATCTTTAAAATACTCTGAAACATGTATCAATATTAGGATTTCTTCCTCTCTTTGGTCCAAAAAAAGACTGTTTGTCAGACATGAAAGAGTTTTGTTTTTATACTTCACCAATGACATACACATGCCACACTTACCATATACTTTCTACCAGCTGCACATTTACCTTTCTTTTCAGCGCACAGAATAACTTTTCTTTTTAATGTGACATCATATGTAAAACACCTTTCCATGTGTAAAAACTGATAGAAAACTGAAAACACCTGAATGATAAGAATGTTGGGCAGTAACTGAACTGAAAGTTGCGGGGGTTGATTCACAGTTAATGGTGAGAGGATGGTGTGACTTGATGACGCACTCCAAATGTGTTTACATTAGGATGTTTCCAGGCAACCCTATGGAGAGAGTGCAAACTGATGAATAATTCCTCAAATTTAAGACAAACTTCAATTTTTCAATGGGAAAAAATGTGGACTTTACCTTATTGAAATGTGATGCATTGTGATTATTTGTTAAGCGAATGGAGACTCAGTGCTGTATGTTTCCTGTGAAGTATATTTGGGAAATCAACCCAGGGGAATTATTTTTTTAATTTTGGAAAGCCTGGCTTGTTGATTTTATGCATGAGTGCATCATTTTGGCTAAATCCAAACTAGATCGTGTAAAATCTTCATACAAGGCTATGTAGACTTAAAAACTATCATCTTATTGAAATGTATGCATACTGAAAGTGATAAACTTACTTGTATTTCAGACCAGTATGGTATGCATCTTCAACATATGTTAGTCACTTGTTCCAACAGCTCCACCTGCTTATCTCATCGCATAAGTATGAATTGGTCACTGATCAATGAATCTGCCTTAAAAACTACATATAGATTATGAATAAAGAACCAAAGATGTTATCTCTTGCAACTTGAATTTTACTTAAGAAAGTTTATTTTGCCTGTGCTTTGTTTCAGGTCTTAACTTCAGTAGGGTGCAAATAGTTGAATTGCCTGTGAACAGCAGCTCTGCCAGTACCATAGCAGCTATGGTAGGAATTATCAGTATAGCGGCAGTGATTGCAGTTGTTATTTTTGCTGCAGTCATGAAGATAAGGAAGAGAGGTGGGTCACATGCATTTGGCACTGATGATTTGGAGTACAGTAAACTGATGGAATAAATTGTTCTTTTATTATGTTTTACTTTTATTTGGTTCACTTTCCTTCTCTTCAACCTTTTCCTTACACTCATGTGCCTCAGTGATATAGTTAACTTCAGGTTTTGTTTTTGAAAGATTTCCATTCTTTTTTGGGACCTCATACTCCCTTAAAACTGTACCCACCTTGCGTATGAGTCCAGACTGTTCCACATCATGAAAAGAAACAGTCATTGTGGCTTGGCCCTTGCCAGAGGGCTAGACACATGTCCAGGCAGTGATAGCCACACTCAGAAAATGGGGAATAAGAGTAATAAATTCCTTATTAATAATTAACACATGTTCTGTTTCTGACAACTTTGAAGTCGGTGGGATAATGTTTGGATGAAGTATGGTTGGAAGATGAAATTTGTAGCTGTAGCCTTACATGCTGAATGGGTGGATTTGATACCCACACCAAGAAGGTAACATAGCAAGAGTGATACATAATAACCACAAGAAACACAAGTAATATTCTTTTTGAAGGCTAGTAGAAAAACTAGTATTAAAATATGTCTGCGATTTACTTATCTATTATGAGGAAGCATATACACTGTAAGGCCACTCACCACACTGAATTTAAATTTGACTTTTTGTGGACTGATAATTAAGGAAGGTATGTTTGTCTGGGGAAAACACAGAGAACACTGGCTGATGTGAATTCAGAGTGCTAACAAGACTTGCTCAGATGAATTCAGAGTTGTGACAACTAACCAATGTAGCTTAATAATTAGACCAGTAACTAACATACTGATAATGAAGTGAGAACCTTACCACTTGTAACTAACAGTTAGGGTCTGTAAAATTGAAAGAAGTGAGCCTAATCAGTCAGTCATAACAACATTTAATTCTCCAATTTCTTTGTCTGAAATTCAGTAATCTAATATGTAGATTAATATCATGTCACATAATGGTGACTACATGATGGATTTCAGTTGGAAGTGATTTTTTTTGTTGGACAGTGAATACTCCTATATACTCTGTGGCTTTTAGTCGGCAAGTGAATTATGCCAACCAAGCGACCACCACTTGTAAGCGAAGTTAGGGCCAACCATTGCGGATAGAGGGTGTCACATGGTCAGTGCAACGGCCGTTAATCTCGGTTTTCTAGACCGGAGCTGCTACTTTTCCATTCAGGTAGCTCCTCAATTATCCTCACGAGGCTGAGTGAACCCTGTTCCAGGTCCACTACTTCTCAGAAAATCTTATAGCACCGGGAATCGAACCTGTGACCTCTGGATCTGTAGCCAGGAACTCTGACCACTAGACCACAGAGGCAGTCTAGTCCTATCTACATCTATTCACAAATAATCATTCACAGTCTGTTAGACCATTCTTGCTTAGGTCCTCAGTACTCTGTCTTTACAGACCTTATTGCTAGGTTGCAGGCACTCTTGTCATGCATACTCCCACTGGCATTCTATTGTTATGGACTCCCCAGCTAGCTTACAGTCTGTCCCTATATCACCTTGTTGCAGATTAATTAGACGGTACTGAATGCAGTGATACTTCCACTGTTGTGGGCATGTCTGTTACCACAGATAATGTTTTATCATGTGTTGTCTAGTAGTGGAGGCCTCTTTGTTTCCAAGATTCAGATGTTTCTGGATTTCAACCATGTTGTCACATTATTGTAATGGATGTGATCAGTGCATTGCCAGGCAACAGCCCCATAAATGCATTCAAATGTGCAACAATGGAAGCTGTGTCTCAGTGGATGAATGTTATAGCTTGTTGTTAGGCAGCACTCAGTGCACCAATAAACTAGCTGGGTAGCAGTCACTTGACTTGTGTTTTCTGTGTGGTCTGCACCATGCAACAGTAGAACTGTTTTTCTTGCATTGTCCATGCCGTGGCTATATAACGCAAGGCTGCTTGCACCTGAGATGAATTTTAGTTGAGTTCCAAGGTTCCAGGGTTGTTGAACAAGAACTGGCAAGGAGACTTCCTAGTGATTTGAAGTGATAGTTTCTGTGTTGAGATCCATTGCCAGGAGATGACTAGTGAAGACAGAGAATACTAGTACATATGCAACAGTAAACTGAAAGTGTGTAGAATAGCAATAGCATTATTAGCTCTTATGAACACATAATGAACCATGGTTTCCACAAAAAGCAAATTTTTGACTACCAGAGCGTCAGTTAGTTTCTTAAGAACTCATATCCACAGAGTTAATCACTTAGGATATTCCATTAGAGAACACCTTTTTACTTGCATTTATTTGCAGGGGGGTGTATGCAGAAACATCTTCATGCACAAAAGAGTCACAGTTTTCTATGTACAACCCAACTGATGTCACTTACAACTGTTCTTATACTTCAGGCTGTAATCACAGATTCAGGTTTTCTGGGGTGTAATGCCATGTGATTTGCCGGAGAAGTGCCAACACTTCAAAGGAGCATACTAACTCCATCTTCAATGGAAAAGTGAGATTATACCCTGAAGATGGATGCAGCATGTTCTTCCAGGATAGTGCTACAGATCAACCAAACTACATGACACCACATCCCAGAAGACTATAATCTTAATATTCACTGCGGTGACAAGCCCAAATATCATGCTATCAGTTCATAGGTTATGAAGGGAATAGTTTCACAGAAAATAAAATAATTATCTGCATAATTCAGTACTGTCCTACTTCTTGCATCCAGGATTCCATGCTATGGAGGTGCTGAATTGGGTAATGTCCTTGAATTAAGATGGGACAGTGAATACAGGTAAGCAGAGGTATGGGGAAAGTTGAGTCAATAATACTATACCCAGCTCCTGGTTTTACTACTCAACAAATCATTACAAATTTGTGGTGATGTATGAATTAAAGTCTTTATGGTAGCTTGGGAGAGCACAGATGTTTAATCTTTAAGTAAGAATGAGCAGTCAATTATTATTGTGGTACATGACATGGTATGTGTGTATGCATGACTGTACTATTGAAACCACAAAATGTCTGATCCTATGTTCAGCGAACTCACTGTTACTGAATCTGAAAAACGAACTCACTGATAATAGAACCCAAAGGTTCAACACTAAATTTGCCATGGATACAATCCTGAGCCAGTTCCATCCACCTTCCATCCTCACAACCAGTTTCCATGAGGTTCTTACTGTTAACATTCCATCTTTTTCAGTCTTCCAAGTTGAGAAGTTATGTGAGTTACATTTTCCACATAAAACTATAGGAATTTATTGTCTTCTTATCCAACCTACATATTCAGCTTTTAATATTCTCACTGATTTCACTACCAGAAGAGTAGGTGACCTGTAAAAGCCAAAAATATCTTCATTATGTAAGATCCTGAATTGCTTGTTGACTTCCTCCTCTTAAGGACTGTCTATTCTTCTAAACTATATTGTTTTCATACACATGTAAATTATGTTTATCCTGAAAATAAAAGACTATGTTTCACAACCATACAAACAAATGGAAAACAATTTTAGAACCTTAGATTTTAGTGCACTGGAAACCAACAGATGAATAAGACTACTTAATGAGAATGATTTGTATGAGCATTGCATCTTTCTGGTTCTAATGAAGGACACTAAAAGCTGAAAGTTATATCAGAATGGATTTGATTTCTATTGCTCTGCTAAATCAGCACCCTGTTTAGCACAATGCCAATTTTTTTATAATGCTCATGACAGAAAAGGCTGCAAATTGGACAGAATGCTCACATATAGAGATATGAATGTTGCAATTATGAAATCAATAACACGGCAAAAAATATACTTTCTTTAGTGTATGTGTATGTGTATAAAAGTAAGACCACTATGGCTTAACACATTTGCATTATAGCTTCTGTCATTCATAAAATCTTCGTTAGAGAAGGAAATACAGTGGAACCTCGCTTAATGAGCATAATTCATTCCAGAATCTTACTCGTAATGCAAAACACTCGTTAAGCGAAACAATTTTTCCCATATAAATTCATGTAAAATATGATAATGCCTTCCATGCCGGAAAAAATACTAAAAAATGTTATGTATAACGTTTATTCAAAGAAAATTATATATATATACATTGTTAAGGAGCGCGAATCATCTTCATCTTTTCTTCTATGTGTAATGAACCAACCTGGAATGCGAATTTGATTTGCAGAAAACAAAAACAAAAAAATCGAAATAAATAGTTTATTATTCATGATACATATCTAATTCTTTTTTACTAGAAAGCTGTCTAGAGACATTTGTTTTCGCTGACGCTTCAAAATTTGGTGAAAATGCGACACAGCATTATCATTAAATAAATTTGTAGCGCGCATAGCCACTGCCTTGTTAGGGTGATGGTTCTCAATGTACGATGCAACAGTTTCCCATGCTTTCAGCATTTCTCTTATTGCGCCAGAAGATTGTTGCTTTGCTGTTACCTCCTCTGACAAACTCTCCACCACAACTTCTTGCTGTGAAACACAATGCAACTCCATAAGCTCTTTGGTGGTCAGCTCTTGGCTGTGCTCTTCCACAAGCTCATCGATATCATTGTTATCCACCTCCAGCCCCATGATCTTGGCCAAAGACACAATCTCATTGACTACAGGCTCCACAGGTACTATCTCAAACCCATCAAAGTCACATTCGACAACGCTATCCAGCCAAAGCTTCTTCCAAGCAGAAGTAAGGGTTCTCTTGGTAACCCCTTCCCACGCCTTTTCGATCATCTTGAGGCAGGCAATGATGTGGAAGTGATATTTCCAAAACTCTTTGAGAGTGAGATTGGTCCCTTCAGTCACCTCAAAACAACGCTCGAAGAGTGGTTTAGTGTACAGCTTCTTAAAGTTAGAAATAACCTGCTGGTCCAAAGGCTGGAGTAACAGAGTGGTGTTGGGAGACAGAAACTGGATCTTGATGAATTTAAATTTTTCAAGGAGGTCATCTTGTAGGTCTGGAGGATGGGCAGGAGCGTTGTCCATAACAAGCAAGACATGGAGTGGCAGATTCATCTCAAGCAAATATTTTTTCACAGAAGGACCAAACACTTCAGTGATCCAATCAGTAAAAATGTCACATGTCACCCAAGCCTTGTTGGACCTCCACATCACATTTAGCCTGCTCTTCTGGACTTTATACTTCTTGAAGGCTCGTGGAGTTTCTGAATGGTAAAGAAGCAGCAGTTTAATTTTCAAATCGCCGCTTGCATTGGCACAAAGTAGCAGCGTGAGACAGTCTTTCATTGGCTTATGGCCGGGCAATGCATTATCCTCTGCTGTTATATAGGTTCGCTTCGGCATCTTTTTCCAGAAGAGACCCATCTCGTCACAATTAAAAACCTGTTGCGGCAGGTAACCCTCAGAATCTACGAGCTTCTTGAAGTCGCCGATGAAGTTCGCTGCTGCCTTTGTGTCGGAGGTTGCTGCTTCACCGTGCCTTACAACGCTCTGGATGCCGGTTCTTCTCTTAAATTTCTTGAACCACCCATGGATTCCCTTAAATGCGTCTTCTTCGGCTGTTGATAATCCTGGCGTCTTCTTAATGAGGTCGGTGAAAATCACTTTAGCCTTCTCACAAATGATGTTCTCGTTAATAGTGTCACCTTGCAATTGCTTTTCGTTTATCCATATGAGGGACAACCTTTCAACATCGTCGAGAATACGTAACCGTTACATAGATATTCTTATCACTCCCTTTGAAGCATCTATCTCCTTAATCTTGTCCTTGTTCTTGAGGATAGTGCAAATCGTTGATGTAGACCGATTGTATGTGCGTGCTAGATCAGCCACGCTCACACCTCGTTCTTGCTTTTCAACAATTTACGTTTCGTTTCTACAGTTATTTTTATTCTCTTATGGCTGTCTTTTTGCAGCTTTTTCTTCGGGGACATTTTTGCAAGGGTTATTAAACTTTGCACAAAAAGAAATCACGAATACAGAGCCTAAGATACAATATACAAAGATTTCAGGTTTTCACAGTGTTGAAGATTCATATTGTAATGTGGTGGGAGGTTACCAGTTTTTTCAGAAAAAACATACTACCTCTATGTTTGGAATATTAGCGAGCAATCTTTAAAATGGGGGTAGTATCTTCCTCCAAAACATTAGTACCCACTAGCCTGAGTGTATTGTGCCATAACTCAGAAAAACACAATATAAATAATCAAAATCTTAAGAAATAGAAGAAGAAACACATTTGCCTACAAAATGACACAGGTAGTAGTGAAGCATTCTTGACATAGCCATAGGATGCTTTCAAGACACTTGTGAGCTAATGAAGCAGTATGGCATGGCAGGGGAAAGCATAACAATTAACCAAGCAAAGCACTAAAGGAAATAAAATAGTTGGTACATGATGTCATTAAACTGCTGCAAAAATATAAGTCTGCATTTCCACAACTCAGACTGGGAGTACTTGTATCTACCCTGGATGCAGTGGCACACATAACTGCTGTTTCTATTATATTTTTATGAAAGAATGTAAGCTGTATTTGTGACACCCAAAACTTAATACATGTGAGAGATGTGATAAGTTAACAGATGTAATCAGAAGAAATGGGTAACACTGAGATAGAACTTAATCACACAAAAGGATTTGCAGCTTCATAAAACAGAATTAGTTCAAAACTACATGTGTGGAGATCTTAGCAGTGCTAGAAAAGAGGGGAATTCATAGTGCACATATTTTGATTTACAACAGACAACCCAGTGACATTTTTATTGTATGCAATGTCCATTCAGTCTACCCTCTTAACTACTGATCTGAATCTGTGGTATAGGACATTCCCTTTTCCATAGAAGTATGCATGATCATCCTAACCACATCCATGGAGCAGAGTACTTCTGTGAAACTAACAGTTCTTGAGCTACACAAATTTCATGCATTTTAAGGAACCCAAATGTTCATTGCCAATTCTACAAGACCCTGCCACTGGTCCCTGTTGTGAGCCAAATGATTCAGTGCACACCTCCCATCTATTTCTTTCAGATCCATTTTAATATTATCATCCCATCTGTGTATAGATCTTCCAGCTGGTCTCTTTCTTACAAGACTTCTCATCTCCTTATGCATGCTAAATGCTCACACTATCCTTTTCGATTCTTTTGTCGTAATATTATTTGGTGAAGAGAACAAATTATGAAGCTCCTCATTATGCAGTTTCCACAGCTTCCTGTTTATTACTTTCACCTTCCTACACCAAAACATTCTTCTCAGCACCCTGTTTTCAAATACTCTCAATCTATGTTATTCTCAAAATGTGAGAGACCTTGATCTATACGCATACAAAACAGGCAAATTTATAGTTCGTACATTTTGATCTTTACATTTTATGTATTAGATGGAAAGACAGATTAGTGGTAAAGTGTCATTCAGAAATGTATCATTCCCTAACAGGGCCCAACAGTCAACTTAGGAGATGGGACTTCCCCATCTCACAGATGGGGGGCTTCAACCTAGACCGACATCAGGGATTTGAGAAAGTGAGCACAGAGGAGAGTGATGAAGAGGGTGCCAGCAGTACAGTGAACTTTAGACAACTGCCCTCACCGTTTGCTTAATGACACAGTGGTGATGTATGTGTATAACGAAAGTAATCTCAAAATCCAATCCTTATACTTCCTCCAAATGTATTTTGTTTTAGTGTTTTATATAATGAATTGTGCCAAAGACATTCTAAATCTAGGTTTATTTGAAAAAGGAATATAGTATTTTAGAAAATTTTCGTTCAACAAGTCAATTTAGTCTTCTTTAGTCATTCTCAACCGAAATGATTCTTAAACATACAATCAACCTCCAGTTTCAGAAGTGTCAAAGGAGCAAAAATTATCCTTTTTACACATGAAATACTTTATGTGGAAAATATAAAGGCCAGAATTGTGAAGCTAGCAAAGATGGCCATTGTTGGGGAATGGCTCTGCAAACAACGGCCGTTTCTAGGCATTGGCTCAGTAGTGATCACGTTGAGGACTCAGCCTCCACCAAATTGGAAGTAGAGACTACTAGTGGCTTGCATGCCAGTGCTGTAGGAGCATGGGCCACTTCTGGTTATTCTCTCCCCATAAACGGAAGAAACAGTGGCCCTAATAGGCTACGTGGACAAGCAGCCTTAACTGTTGGGAGACATGTTTTCTGTGGGGTCCATACCAAGGCTATATAATGCACACTGCGTGCCATTAGCTGATAGACAGTCCTGCAAACTCAGTTAGAAGAGTAGGAGGTTGATGTGAGATTGTCACCAGCCTGCAAGAATGTGAGCCCAGGAGCAGAAGAACTTCTGTGGCTGGAAGATGCTGCCAAGACATGACTATGGAAACTTGTGTGTGTGCGCGAGTGTGTGTCCATGTGTGTGTGTGTGTGTGTGTATAACAATGAACTGTGAAGTGTAGTTTTTCGTTATATCAAAGGAGTCCAATAAATCTGGTCATCAATACAAATCTTGTCTATAGTCACACTCTATAAAACTGAGACACTATTTTACATTCCTGAACCAACTATCCTGGCTGAAGTTCTCTTGTATTCTCTTAGTCTTAGAAGATGATTGCAGAGTATATCAGTATATTATTTCATTCTCATGATGGAGTTTTTAGTTTTTGGACCTGCTAATATTTGTGGAACATTCACTTATAGCTATTCACAGAAGGCACTGTAAATTACTTGTACACGATTATTATATAAATTTAGGTGTTAGTAATATGATGCAGAATAGTTAGATAATTCTGTGGAGTCTGTTTGACAGTTATATACTTACTGATTTTAAATGGGGTGCAAGCATTTCCTTTTTATTGAAGATAATTAACAATTCATAATAATTCCACCCTTTGATATCTATCCACAAGGTATGAATGTATGAATGAATGAATGAATGAATGAATGAATGAATGAATGTATAAGGGGTGGGCCTTCTTGGCCCTTGCACTGCGACCACAGTGATCTATTGTGCCTCCCCTTCTGATTATCCCCTCAGCAATCCTGTGCTTCGAATGAAGCACAGGATTTTGTACATGGGGACGTTGAAATAGTCACTTCGTTCCATAAAATATTGACCCAAATGATGTAATCTTAAATAAGCTAAGGCCTCACATTTGCACAGGATATGTGTGGCTGTTTCATTTTCTTCTTGACACCTCTCACAAATTGGACTATTATGGGATTTGTGGTGGACAAAGTGGCGCTGGGGCAGGTTTTCTCTGAGTACTTCGGTTTCCCCTGCCAATCTTCATTCAACCAATTGCTCCACAATCACCCTCACCTATCATCTGGGGCTGGTACAATAGGCCAGAAGCGGCCGCAGTACAAGGGACTTAGTTCAACCCCACTAGCAATAAAAAAAATAGTTCCAGTTTGAAGAGGTGTCCTTTAAGGTGACAGTGTCCTGTAAGTAGGCCCAGCACCCATCATAGCTGGTTCCTGTTTAACTTCAACAGTTCCTTCGTTCTTTTAATAGAGGGTCCTCGTATGAGTCCCTTTGCTTGCCTGAGTCCAGTCAAGGATCCCCTTTATTTCTTGTGATTAATATCTGTCATGCTGGAGTAAGGTCGCAGGGACCCTCAGTTCCATTGTGGCTGGACCTGCATATCTGAGGTTGTTGCTGTTGCACTGCGCTGCTTCAGAGTGCTGCCGTGAAGGACACACCTGGGATGGCGAGATTTAAGAACACTTTCCCATTGTAGTCTTGGGTGTTCTCTGTGACTTCCTATTCTGCATCTTATCCTTGTGTTTGCAGCCTTGTTAATTGGTGGGATGTGCTTTCTGTCCTTCCACCAACTAGCAGTTGCGGCATGCTGGTGTGAAAGATGTATTTCCTTTTCAGGACACTCCCTGTGCAGGTGGCCACCCACGCACCACAAACAAGGGGGAGGTTGCTTGCAGTTTGCCCAGACGTGGCCAAACTTTTGACAGTTATGTCACTGCATGGGTCCATTCTTGGCTCTCTAGGCCTTTACTCTGATTTCATTATGGCAAAGGCTTGGCAGATTTAAAATTTTTTGGTATTTTGCTATCCTGGGTAAGATTGTAAGGAACAAGGGGAGGTTTTTGGTTGTTGTTCCTTCAGAAAGTGACCAACAGGTGGTTGTCATCCGCTTGACACTAATAACATCAAAACCCAGGTTCACCAGTCCATCATAAATGTCCTCTGCAGGGGTATTGAGAGGGAGGTGACATATCACGGCTTTTATGGGCTTTTGGGGTAAAAGGTAAAATAGGCAAGTTTATGGTTCTCTAGGTGGGATATGACTGCTGAAAAATCTGCCATTTCTGCAGTTACTCAGGTCTCGTTTCTGTTGCTATGGAACTCAAAATTTCTTTGTCCAAGCCTTTCAGTTGTTTTTGCAACTAAATCAGGTTAGTTGTGGACATTAAGACTATTTGAAGGGGGGGGGCTGCTTTGCCAAGAATTGCTTCCTCTTGTAGAGTGGCCTCGGTTCTGGAAGAATCGGTGTTCATATCCGTTGCCCTGCTGGAGATGAAAAAATTTCAGTTTTTGGGGGGGATTAAGGCGGGAGAGGTTTTGGCCTGCACTGATGCTTTCTTTGAAGTTCGGGCAGTCTCATCAGTGGTGTGCTCCTTGGCGCCTCTGGACTTCTCAGAAACAATCCTCCTAGGCTTGGGGCCGTGTCATAGCTCAAGTGGTTAGTCGCTGGCTTTACGCCGCAGTGATCTGGGTTTGATTCCGGGTCTGGTCAAGTTGGATTTGTGGTGGACAAAATGGCGCTGGGGCAGGTTTTCTCTGAGTACATCGGTTTCCCCTGCCAATTTTCATTCCACCAAATTCTCCATCGTCATAATCACCTGGGGCAGGCTACAATAGGCCAATCAGTGGCCGCCGTGCCAAGTGGACTCAGCTGGACTCCACCTCCCACTAAGCAAAAAAATCCTCCTAGGCTGTTAGCTGCCCTGTGGCTTTTGGTGAATTAGTTTGACTTCCTAGGATGCTCACCTGGAGCATGGCCTTTAACTCATTTAGGGTAGCTATATAAGTGTCATACAGGGCCCTAAAAAGGGGTTTTCCATTGATAGCCTTATAGTAGCAAGCTCCATTTTCTTCTACAGCATTGACGATGGCTGCTGATTCCGCAATTTCCCCTGCCAAGGCTGGCATGTATCCCACCACTTTCTTAGTGTCGCATAGCACCATAGAGTTGTTTTAGATGTGTGTCCACATCAAGATATTGTTGATATTCAGATTTCAGTGTAGTACGTTTTTTCGACAAAAATGTTTGGTATCCTGGTACTGAGACATCTGCCATCTTGGATACAACACTCACTTCTCACTTTGTACACTTGAGTTCCAAAGGATTGTATACCCATATATTGCGGAGAAGCACACAAACCCACAAATTACATTGAACACACACAAGCGCAAGAGAATTTTTTGATGGTATACACAATAGTAAAAAGTTGTTTTGTCTAACAATTACACAAACATATATCTAAAGCATTGTTATATAAGTATTATCCGAGGTACTTATGACATCCCTTCACTGTATAACCAGTCATCAAACCCACTTAATATTCTATGCTCCTAACAATTGAGTCATGCTCCACATACTTACTATTCTCACTCTACTGACTGCTAATCTCCTAGCCGACTCAATCCTTCCTCCACACTGACTGAATCTAACAGCCAACATACAATCAATCACCCTCTATTCTCTCAGCAAATTGCTTATAGAACACCATGAATAATATAGGCCAGAAAGGAACTATGGGCAAGCCAACTGTAGCATGGTCATTGTCTGCAAGGAGCTCAGAGGGAACCAATGACAGTAAAGTACAAAGGAGGGAAAAGCGAGTTAACTCTGTTTGGCCCTGCACTACTGGCACTCTCATCTGGCTGATATTAAGTCTGGTCTTTTATGTGCACCACATCAGTCCACAATACACAACATAAAATGTCAGATTCATCTACAGTTTTGTGCAGAAGCCATCAACAGAACTGCAGGCACAGACTACTCTCCCTTAGCTACAGCCATTGTACAAGTTATACATGAGAATAATACAACTGCTCTTCATGCAGTGTACACCAAGTTTCACTCTGAGTGAGGTCTGTTTCATTTGTGACCTGACAGATGTTAGTCAAAGGATTAGCATGTATAACTAACACTTCTCTTCATTCTGCACATTGTGTCTGACATGGACAACATGAGTGTATCCAGTTCCTTTAGACTGTGGTTTACTATGACCAACACATGTCTGTTGGGTTACTTTCCAATCTGGATACCAACATTGGTATTCCCTCAGTGCAGTTTCTAGTATTTTGATCACAAGAGCCATACATGAAATCCATATCGGCACTCTCCGCTTCACTACATTTTGTTACCTCATTTCAACGTCATTATTATTTTGTACTACAAGTAATGTGAGTTACAAGTGATTGGTGTGTGAGCTCCGTCTTGTGAAATTATAGCTCTTCACGCGGTAGTGTAGTGGTTAAGGCTCTATGCTACAAGTTGGAAGATCACGGGCTCAAATACCGATGAGGTCATTGGATTTTTTTCAGTTGACCTAATCCTTCTGGCCGCACTATGGCCCTGGGGTTCCTTGGGAGTAAAGCGCGGCCAGCGCATAAGGCTGACAACCTTACTGCCATCTTTGAGCCAATTGTCTAGATAATGTGGGACCCTCAACGTTTCACAACCCTATGAGCCTTCATGGCCTGTTACAGGGATAGCTTTACTTTTTTTTTTTTAACTTTTAGAAGTAATATGAGTTATAAGTGATTGGTGTGTGAGCTCCATCTTGTGAAATTATAGCTTTTCAATGCATGAACATACAAAGTCTGAAACACCATACAAATTCTAAAATGATGGTGAATTAGACAACTGTTTGTTTGCATTTAGTGCCTCAATTTATCTCAACAACCTCCTAAAGTTTGGTTGTATAACTTTAGATTACCCTGTACATTTAATTTTCTCTTTAAGTTTGTGCAAGTTCTTTGTAATCCTGCTCAGTTTATCTAAAATAAGGCACCCTTGAATTACAGAATATCACTTCCTTTTCTTACAGCAGCTATAGTTTCTTTTAGTATAAGTAATTTGAAGGTCATGGTTGTTAGCAGTCATAGAAGTTCTTCTGCTGAACATGTCTGTTAAGTATACATTGTATATCAAAACAAACAAACAGAAACAAACTCTGTGGCTTTAGTCTGCAAGCAAACTATACTGACCGAGCAACTGCCGCTTGTTGGTGAAGTTAGTGCTAACTTTAGCAGATAGACGGTGTTGCATGGTCAGCGCAACGAATCCCCACAGCCATTAATTTCAGTTTTCTAGACCGGAGCCACTATTTCCTTGAAACAGCTCCTCAATTATTCTCACGAGGCTAAGTGGACCCCGTTCCAGACCAACTACCTCTCACAAAATCTGGTAGTGCCGGGAATCGAACTCAGACCTCTGGATCTGAAGCCAGGAACTCTGACCACTAGAACACAGAAGCAGTATATACACTGTATATCACAAACAGAACAATTAAATTTTCTCTTTTCACATAATGCACTGAACATATTACATAAACTAACATTGCAGTAGCGACATTTGCCACTGGATGTAAACCCTAGTCTGTTCCATCCTCCTCTCATAACCTATCTCCCTAAGATCTGCTTCAATGTTACTCATGTCATAATTTTTCAGCAGGTTTTAAATTCTATTTCCCTCCCCCCAAGGCACAAATAAAGGGAGTTTTGCATCAGTGCATCCTCAAAGATTATCCACATACTAAAGGAGAAGAAATGCCTCAAATTCTCACACATTCTTGTCAGTATTCAAGACATCTGCATCACTGCTGTAGATTTGATGCAGCCCTTCTTGGAACTCTTTCATTCTTTAGATTTTCCCTGACCTCCATGACAGGTATCAGCCCTTGTCTACCTTTTCAGTGTGCTTCCTACTGGCTATCACTCAACACCCAAATGGTGGATGTTGGCAAGGGGTTTCAAAGAACCCAGTTGTGGTGGAGAAAAAAAAAAGATGAAACTGGCTCTCAGTTTAGCAACTTCATTATCTATACTGGATACCAGATGTATGATTCTCATGGCAGTAAACATTAATATTTCGGGCGTCTCAGATGTGATGTGATGTTTTGTAGACAGGCACCCATCTGCTAAAGTACATGGTGTCATATCCTAGAAAACTGCAATGTTCATACTGAGTGTCTGCTCTCCAGGATATGGCCACATAGAAAAAAATTTCATATACAAACGTATTACTTTATTTTAAATCTACAATAAGAATCAAATGTTTTGTCACAACAAAACATTACACATGAGGTAATACAGACTAAAATGTTGATACACTACAACTAAACAAGTTTTCCTTTTCTTTCTTTCTTTTTTTTTTTTTGTAAATATATAACATACATTACTTACTCTACAAACATAAACTGAGACTGAAGTCTTCTGGATCCTGATAACATACAGACTTATAGGTGTATCTCAAACCTTATATAATATATAAAAAATTAGAGTTCTGAACTGATCAAGTTGCTTAAGAACTTAATATCAGAAAGGATCAGAAATATTGTCAGTCCTATTATATACAACTAAGATTTTTGTTTTAAAGAACCTATGCATTTGTAGTGTCCTACAAATTTTCTAAAATGGGAACATGCATAGCATGTAATTCATTTTTCATAAAAATTACTGCCTGCACAGTTTTGTTCTCAATGCTCATTAAAATTTTATTTCAGAAACACTTTCAGAACTATATTTATGAAAATATACACCAAAGCCAATAGAGACCTTATATCAGAAAGGAACTAGAACTTGTGATTCTCAGAGGCAGTATGTCTATGGAAATAATTTTTGTTGCATCCAAATGTAAACACCTGTCAAGAATGAAAACAGTAATATGACTCAGCATGTGTGATTGTCTTCTAGTTCATTTAAAACAGAAAGTACCCATTCTTCACCCAGGATATGGTTTACTTTCCTAACCAATATCACAGTATATAGTATCCAAAAGTTAAAAAAAAATAGAACTTATTCATGGCCCTAAATGGATTTTGAACAAGGATTATAACTGCATCAAAAAACTCCACAGCACTTGCACACACAGCTGTGTCAGCAGTGGCTACTGTAGGTGTTGACAAGTGTCAGAATAAATTTCAAATCTTTAGGTGCTCTCTACTAAATTCATGGAAACAGACAGAAAATGACAGCACACTTACATCTTTACATACATATTAGATGTTTTCTCTACTGCACAAGCTATGTTACACCAAATGGGAGGAAGACTGTGAATGATTTGGGAAGAACATGGTAATTGTTGTGGCCTATTTTAAGGCACTATCCCAGTAACTGAGTTGAAAACCTTAAAAAAAGTTCAGTCAGGACAGCCATTCTCTGGACAAAGATTCAATTTTAGGGTCTCCTGAATAAAAAGCAGTGCTAACCATTCAACCATGAGATTCTGTGTTTCAGTGTGAGAACTCTTGTGGGTGCTAATTCAAATATTTAATATGATGCCTGCGTGGAGGACACCAGTGCCAAATACAGAACATCTGCCTTTCCACAACAGTGGTCCATCCAATATGGACAAACGTGGTGTCCACTCCCACATGCTGAGATGTTTTCATTTATGCATCTACCAGGTGAGTGCAAGCTTTAAGGAAGTCCATTATGGCTGGTGGGTACAACTCTCATCAGCCTGTGACAACTGACAAATGGTAAAAACAACATATATCTCAAAACACCAGTCTGGGACATAAAATCTTACCAGGGGAAAAAATATAAAAAATTATGAGTCAATATGTTATGGTACCGCCTCTGTGGTCTAGTGGTCAGAGTTCATGTCTACAGATCCAGAGGTCCTGGGTTCGATTCTCAGGGCTACCAGACTTCTTCTGAGAAGTTGTGGGTCTGGAATGGGGTCCATTCAGCCTCATGAGGATAATTGAGGGGCTATTTTAAGGGAATAGCAGCTACGATCTAGAAAACCGAGATTAACAGCCATGGGAAACTGGTGCACTGACCACAACACCCTCTATCTGCAAAGGTTAGCACTGACTTCACCGAAAAGCGGCGGTCACTCCTTGCAGACTGCAGGCCACTGAGTTTGTCTGGTTTGTGAATGTGTTATGATTCATAATTCATACACTGAATCTGCAGCAGTGCAGCTCAATGACGAATGTAATTAAGAAAACATAAGTATAGATATCAATTTTAATAAAAATACTGCCAAGCAGGTCAGTAAGAAGTTGCAGCATTCAAGGCTTTATGTTTGGGATGTACCAGATCTGAATCTTAGATGGGTTAATGGCTATCACCACTCAGATTGTCATGATTCTCTTTACTCTCTCAAGGTTAAAGACAGTACTGTGAAAAAGCCCATCAAAATCCTTCCCTACTTATTATTCATGATCCTTTCCCACCACATACGATTGTATATATCCCATGCAGCTAAAACAAAGTTGTAAATTAACATAATAACAATAATATGCAAGCACACAAGCAAACTTACTACAGACAAGACCCTGATGATTTTGCCATACTAATTATTATTCGTGGCTATTTCTTCTGTTATACAATATTTTAGATAATTCCATTTTTACACTTTCTTTCTCACCAGATTTCATTTTCTTAAGTTCTGCTGTTACAAGTTCACCAAAAAGGTCATCTTCATCTGAACATTTTCTTGTTGGTGAATTTTCTACAAGTTTTGCTATTACTGATGACAGTGACAAACATGATTGTTCCAAATCATCCCCAACCTTTCTCTTGTGTCTGTCTTCACAAGTCTGGCATTTTGTTGTTTTATCTGAAGACAGCAGTTTTGGCAGTGATAAGGTAGATGTAGTTGAGCTTGCTTCCACTGTTGCTACAGGTGATGACCCTGTTGTTAGTATGGGAGAAGTTGCTGCTGTTGCCACAGTAGTTGCAGCAGTTGTTGATATTGATGATCCCACAGTTGATAACACTTCTGTTTTCACAGGTGGTAACACTTCTGCTGTGGCATGTGGTAACATTTCTGGTGACAATTCAATTTGACATAAAACGTCATCGGGAGAATTGGCAACTTCTGCAGCCGACAATGAGCAAACTGATTGGATTAAAGGTCTTATTGGTCGGAAAGATCTGAAACCAGAGTGAAACAATGTTATGTATATGCAATTGGAGTCATCAAGCTTATGAAGGTTGACAAAATGGAACTAGTGTCACATCCCACACATGCATGAAGAATTTTATAACTTTTTGTCTGATATGGTGCAGTACAGGCTAGCAGATGGTTAAAGCATTTCAGAGGAACCTACTGCCTGCACCTTCAGGCAGAGAACTTCTTTTGCTATTCTGACATAAGCAGCAGGTTCCTCTGACAGGTCGGTAACCATCTACCTGAATAAACGGTGTTACATTCCAAAAGACTGCAGTCTTAAACTTCACCACTGTGGGAACATAATTTTCTCTTATTGCTGCAAATTTTCTCTTTCTATCCACTTTTATTTCTTACTGCACTTACATGGAGATAATCACTAAGCTTGCTATTACTGTTCCACCCAGGTACAAACGAATTAATTTTTCAGTTTCAGAATTTGATTCTGCAAGTCTCAAAGAACTGACATTTTAAAAGTATATCCAAGCTGACACACGAAACTTAAGATCAAAATATCTGTATACTTGAAGCAGCATATCCATTCATAATCTCTCAATAATTTTCCACTATTTCCCATACAGTAAAATACAACCTTCCAGTAAATTCATCTGCATGAAATGTGACCAGTGTTATGCCTACCTCCTCTTCCTAATGTGTGTAGTAAGGAAAGACATGTTCGAAAATAAGTGCCAAGGTCTTCTTTTTGGAACCTCACTTGTACTTTCATTTCGTCTTTCCTTCTCCTCCATGCGTTTTTCCTTTGTAAACCTTTCCCTGAGTCGCAGCCATCTGTTTTGACATTCCGCAGCTGCAAGAGAAAATCATTATTAAGTACCAGTACCAGTAGTGAAGAAAGTCAAGTTCACTCTGCATGAGCAACACAGTGTGAAGACATATGAGGGGAGGAAGTAAAGCTCCACAAATTCAGAAACTCGATTCCGTGTGGAGTATGTGGTCATCTTCCTGCTCTGGTCCATTTTCCACTGTTGAAAGTGACCCAGTACCCACAGGAAATAGCTAAAAACAAGTACATCCTCAATCATCAGGCTGAGTACATTTTCAGTCTACCACGAATGAATGACTAAGTAAATCCTTGGAACATAGTCCTTCTTGAGAAGCTGCCCAAGAATTTCTCAACATTTTACAAAACCAAACTTATCATCACTGTGTTCACAAGAGCCCTCCACTAGTCCCTATCCCTCTCTTGGTCTTCCTAGTGGTCTCTTTCCTTCTGGCTCTACCACCAGTATCCTACATGCATTCCTCTTCTCCCCATCCATCCTCCTCCACTTCATTCTAATTATACTTGGCAAAGAGTACAAGTTATGAAGCTCCTCTTTATGCAGTTTTCTACAACCTCCTGTCACTTCATTATTTTAATCCTCAGAATTATAGTTTTGCATATTCTAATTTTTAAGTTTTCAGACGGCAGACAAAAGCTTCTGGACTGAATGGTAGCAAGCATTACCTGAATTCAATCTCCTCTTAATTTCCTCCTGAATCAAATTTTTATCTGTTACTGCTATTCCTCTAACTAGTGCTGAGGTCAAGAGAACGTGGGTCTAAACCTTGAATCCCCCATATGTCTTCATAGCATAGTGCTTAATTACTTAAGTACAGGGACAACTTTACCTTTTTTTTTTTAACCTCTTACTACTTTTCCTAAATATTTTAACTGTGACATGTTTTCAAAGGATCTGTTTTTATGTCTTTATGACATAATTTTCCCCTGCATTCTGGTGATAAGACAGCAACATATCCTTACTTTTCTCTGCATATTATTTTGGACAAACCTCCTTACTGGTGTTAATTAAAGTTCCTGTTTTTCTTTATGGCACATGATACAAACTCTGTCTTCAGTGCAACCATATATTATAGGTCTTTCGTTTTTGCTTTCCCTTACACACTACATGTTTCGGCCACAAACAGCCATCATCAGGTGTATCACTCACGCATCTGTCTTTATGGCATAAAATGTATCAAACAAATGTTCACCTATATAGACTTTACTACACATTTCATTTAAACACATTTTAATCAGCCCAACTAGTTTCATGGGTACCCCAAATTCTATGAGAATAATGTACGATACTTCTCTTTTAACTGAATCATAGACTTTCTTCAAGTCTACGAATAGCTGATGTACAGTCTCATTGTACTCCCACCTTTTCTCCAGTATCTGACAAATGCAAAAGATGTGATCAGTAGTTGATCTCTTATGTCAAAACCCTCACTGATGATCTGCAATAATTTCATCTATATATGGACTAAAACTTAAGAGAAGAATATTGGATAAAATTTTTGTACGCAGTTGATAGTGATATTCCACGACAATTGCTAGTCAGTTTTATCACCAGTCTTGGGAACTGGTACAATAATAGACTTGTTCCACCAATCAGGCAATTCTTCCTTATTCCAAACAGAATTAATGAGCGTGTGGATCTCAGACCACACTGTTTCACCTCCAGCTTGACTCAGTTCTGCCAGAATTTGATCACTATCAGTGACATATATCTTTTCAATTTTGCAATAGTAATTTCAACATCAAAAGGACAAGGAATATGTACTAACTGATCAGCTATATGTATTTCCATCTGTCTAACATCACTAACCCTATGTGCATTCAACAGCTCAGAGAAGTAATTTTTGCACTCTTTCAAAATGTTGTGAGAATCTGCAAGGTGATCACTGTTCTTACCCTTTATCAAATGCTAGGTTGGTAACGCTTCTTAAATTCATTTATTCCTTCATTTAAATCTCTAATGTTCTTGTTCTTACTGTTCGTAAGCCCATTCGCCTTCAAATATCAGTGGATTTTCTTTGCCTTAATCTTCAACCCTGAAGATGGAGGCGATAACTTCCTTCAAAATATCTGTGGACTTTGATAAAACTACAAATGTTACAACCCAAAAGATTGTACTTCTGTTAGCACTGTTTCATTTACATACATTATTGTTCTTAGTGTGGTGAGACTGAGTCCACTTGGTACTGCAGCCACTAATGGCCTATTGTACCAGCCCCAGATCATAGATGATGGTGACTGTGGGGCAATTGGTGGAATGAAGATTGGCAAGAGAAACAAAAGTACAAAACCTGCTCCAGTCCACTTTGTTCACCACAAATCCCATATGACCAGACCTGTGCTGCTGCAATGGGAAGCCAGTGACTAACCACTGACAAAGGATTTTTGTGCAGCATCTAGAATAGTTTACACAAGGCCCAATTCTTATAAGAAAAAAAATTCAAATTATAATAAAACAGGCAGTTTTAGAACCACATCAATCACTTGCATTCCCAGTTTAAAAGATTATACATCATTTCTTAAAAGTGGATGGGTAAATAAACAGATGTGTTCTGCTGATCCTGATGTTTGCAACACATCCTCTTTGAAGAGTTTATTATTGTAACTGGTTGAGTTACACTGCTGCATGTGTGGATATGAAGTTTTACTGTTTGTCATAGAATCATAACCATGGACAATCATTCCAAGTATCGCGCGCCTTCCACTGCTACAGTATACTTTAAATACGGTATAAAATATATTATCCCTTGTGATTAAAAACAACCACAACTTCGAATTTCCTTCCATTAGAATCATCCTAACCCTATTCACTAAAGAAAGTGCACACACATACCAGGCATACTCATCATGACTGCTATTTCCTGCCATGTATTCTCCTTCACAAGTACATCTTTATAGTCTTTACATGTTCTGTTATACAAATGTGGATAACGTTTCACGAGATCAATCAGAAGGCTATCTCCATCTTTTTCTATCTCTTCCAGTTCAACTTCCACAGGGAAATAATGTTCATCTTCGGTTTCATTTGTATAATTATGATCCATTTTGCAAAATTACCTTGTAATTTCACAAACTACAATGAAACAATAAAGGCTTATCGCATGCTATTGATTTTCTATAATTGTGCATGTCCGCTGAGTACATTACAAACTTCAAACCTAACAATGCCGCACAAATTTGTTACTTTACTGTAAACATAGTCGACTTCACTCTGAAACACTATACGCAACATAAGTAGACCGTAACGTAAGAGTTGACACTTTAACATGTACTTATAACACCCGACCACCTACACATACATAATACTTTGAAAAGTATACAACGGTAACCTACCCTCACGATCAGGGCTCATGATGCTCATGATCATCTGGGCAGGAGTTCTGTTGATCCGTGGGAGTTATCTGTGCTCGTAATAGTTATGCAATGGCTGGCAACCCTGTCAGAAAGTAAATGGATTATTTTTGTCATATCTGGGTTGTTGATTTGTATGTAAACCGTACATAATTAATAGCAACATGCTAATTAAACATGGATTTATAATCCCTATTGTGGAATGGTTAGAAGAAATGTCTCCATTATGTAAAATTAAGTGTATGATCTGTCTTGTGCTTATTCTCCAATGACTTTCTTATTGCCTTGGTATACACACTTCCAGTTACACATTTAAAGCAACCAGAATCAATCGACATATCTTTCTGTCGATCATTCCGCCTATCCTGCATATGCAGTACGGTACGGTACAGTGTACACCGGTGTACACAGCGTACACACTACACTTGGCCAGTTCGAAGATTTCCCGAGTACATGCCAACCCTTAAGATCACTTTTCTTCTGCACAAAATGCAAATGCGATAATGTTCAAAGGTGTGGGGATCCAGATTAGATTTCTGTGTGCTAAAATGTGAGGAGGCAGATCTAAAATAAGATATTCCTCGATATACAATGAACACCGGCCTCGGCAGAACGCTACATGAAATATCGATGCGTTCTCTGTTTCTCCTTCCTCGTTCGTACATTCAGTGACTGGAAATGACGGGAAATAAGTAGTCGCGTACCCTAATTCGCGGTCGGTTCGAATATCCATAATGATCTAACTGTTGTAAGCCCCACACAGTACAAATATCAGTGCCCTCTGAAATGTTGGATTTCTGTAAGCTATTCGTAATACATCGGTTGATCAACAATCAAATTCTTCTTCCTTACTTTTCACATTTTATTGCCAACGTCGCCGGGGAAACATGAGCACCTACAAACACGACGTGCGGTTTTCAGACGTGAAGGTTCATGTTCTGGCATTCTTGTGGATCTTCACCAATAAGTTTGTACAATGTCATAATCCAGAAGACTACAATGTAACATCCAATTTCGTGAATGTAATAGTATTGTATTTTACGATTACTACTATTAATTATTTACCCTGTAAATCTTAGAGCTATCTGAGAACAACATATCTTGCAGTTATGAAATCTGATCCTGCCAAACAAGTCAACACAAAATTCAAATTAGACACATGGGGTTTAACTGCATATTTATACTACTTTTTGTTTTAAGCAACAGTGAGTGGGCGGGGACAGTATCAGAAGGAGAATTTCGTAAGAGGAAATTCGATATACCCCTGGAACTGTAGCATGATTGTTATTGTCTACCGTCATATGCGACTCAAGAATATAAACATATCGTAAATGACAACAGTGTGTTCGCACATCAAGGTCACAATGCTTGCGGGAGATGAAGGTTGGCGATTAGTGATGTCATAATGACATCATCGGGAAGTGTAATATTCACCGACGGAGACATGTTAACGTTCTTGCTGCAGGATCGGTTAATTTGGAATTAAATTGTGACTTATTGTGAAGCATGGGAAAATGTTATTTCAATAGATCAGGTACATATGCAGATGAATTCAGAAAGATATTTCTTCGAGGTCAAGTTGAACGCACAAGGAGGGTTCGGTGACGTCAGAGGAAGTACACTTGTATGATAGGATTAGTGTGGTACGTGCTGAAATCATAGGCCTAATATGCAATGGACGTTGAATTTAGCCAAGGCAAGGTATTATATTAAGCAATGCTTATTGTTCCGTGATCAAGGCTTACAGAAGTTACTTTTTTAAAGATATAATTATTCTCATTGCGTTTCAGACAGTTGACACCTTATAGGCATAGGTCATTAATCAAAGAATGTAAAAAGAAGGCGGTAGAGGTCAAGTCTTGAAATTGACTGTCTATGTTATTAGCATTTTTATCATATTTCGATTGCCCTAATGCTCTAAAACTGTAGATTTTGTTACATGCATTGTTCTGTAAAGTATGCTTGCCTTTATATCATTATCACCCTGATTTGAAAACGTCCGTAATTAAATTATGGATTGCTACATCTTGTTTTAAATTTTAAGGGTTATAGGTACAATATATGTGAATAGATAAGGTGACATGCAATGTTAATGATTACTTTATAGTAAGAGTTAAATGGCGTAATTTTTATTCATAATTAAATTCGTTAGTTATGATTATTAGTGAATGAAATATGCATTAATGTGCATTAATTTAAGATTTTAGTTTGTGTCATCACTTGATACTGGAATATATCTGAAAAGAGCCCGTCTTATTTTTTCATTGCAGTTCTAAGCAATCACAAGTGATAAATCCACCTATAGCAGCTTTCAAAAGGAATTGTACAACTGACTGAAGGTAAGAGTTTCACACAGCAGTATTTTTAGTGTTATGAATTGATATGGAAAAAAGCACACTTGAGTTATACTTATCTATTAAAATATATATTGGCTTGATTAGTTATTTAATTTTAGAATACTGACATGAATCCTTAGTCCATTTCAGGTTAGAAAATCAGGCTTTACAATATGAGGTTTTATTGCATGTTAAGAATCTTTAGTGGAATTAGCATATTTCACATTTCTCACCCATAGTGATCACTCATTAACAAACTCAGCTGTCGTAGTTGTTTCAAGAAAGCTGTTCATTGTATATAAAGGTCTGGTATGTTCCTTGTTCCCATCACTTTCTGTCTTGACATCTGGCATATCATCATAGGATGTTCAAGAGCAACATACAGACTGATATATTGGGTTTTTGGACTTTATCCATTGTCCTGGTTTTTAAGATAACTAATAAAAACACGACGTTTCGGAAACTGGATCTGTTTCCGTCCTCAGGTAAAGGAAAACACCTATTCTGTTGAGTCCGTTAGAAAGAGCTAGCCTCAATCACAGGTCCAGTGATTGAGGGAAGCTCTTTCTAACGGACTCAACAGAATAGGTGTTTTCCTTTACCTGAGGACGGAAACAGATCCAGTTTCCGAAACGTCGTGTTTTTATTAGTTATCTTAAAAACCAGGACGATGGATAAAGTCCAAAAACCCAGTATATCGGTGTGTTATACACCATCATCAGAATCCTATAGTAACTACTAACAACATACAGAATGAGTATTGCTGTCATCTTAGAAGTTTTGTCATCACCATTTTGGTATTATGAATGTAATGATGTGGTTTCCTTCTATTGCATTACTTTCGCAGCAGATTTACTGCTGAGTAAACCAGTTCGTTTAGAGCTTATTACAGAAGGGTCTATACAGGCATTCATGCATGGATGTGTGGGTTTCCTCCCCCCACACACACACAACCAAATTAAACATGTATGATGCCATAAGTATCCTTTTTGATACAGAACAAGAAAAGTAGGCAGAATGTATTGTTGCAGTATTGTGCAGCAACAGAACTTTTAAGATTGTAATGTGGTTTTGGAAACAACTAATAGTTCAGAGTGGGTCTAAATTCTGAAGAACTGTTAAGACTAAATTCAGAGGTTCTCTCTAGTGCAGGTAGATTTTAATCAATAAATGATAAAGCCCAGTGTATTCCAGGCATGGTGGAATTATGATTATTTATTGAGCTACCACATATCATTTGTATTAGCGAGCACCATCTAAAGTATGCCGAAATCTATAACACTGTAATGGAAAATTATGTGGTTGGGGCCATTTTTTTGTAGAAATAATGCTATGAAAGGTGGGACATGTATATTTGTTCTCAACTATATAAAATTTGTTGCTGTAAATCTTGATAAATATTGTGTAGAATTTGATATAGAAATTTGTGCAGTAAAAATTTGACATGAACCATCACATGTTTATATTTTATCTGTGTACAGAGCCCCCTCCGGTAATTTTAGTGATTTTATACTCAGAATGGACGAGGTGCTCAAATCATTATACACATCAAAAACTGAATTCATTATATGTGGCGATTTCAATATTGATTACCTCACTGATAATCATAAAAAGAATCAACTCAATTCCCTATTAAACTGTTACAATCTCTTTAGCACTGTTAACTTCCCTACTAGAATAACCAATACTTCTAAATCAACTATCGATAATATATTTATTGATTACTCCAGAATGGGAAGATTTAAATTATCACCTATGTATAATGGTATGTCTGATCATGATGCGCAATTAATAATGATCCATGATATTACTATGCCCCCGTATGTTAAATGTTCACGAATGATAAGAAAAATTGACAAATATTCCTCGTTAAATTTTAATTATAATCTTAGTAATGAACTTTGGAATGAAGTACAGTAAAACTTGGTTATAGCAACATCGGTTTCTGCGACACCTTGTCTATTGCGTCAAATATTCAATGGTACGAACTAATTCCTCATAAAGCAACTGTTTTTATACCTTGCTTAGTACGACATGCACAAATGCATCAACCTCGTATGTAACGTCATTTTCATTCCTAAATTTCTCTGATATCGACATTGAACGTAATTTAGAAAGTGTGTNTCGGTTTTTGGTAGATTTTTACGTGACTAACATAAGGCTACTGTGGAAGTGCCCATTTCGGTTACAGCGACATTCGTTTATAACGACACTATTTTTAGGTCCCTTTTACGACGTTATAACCAAGTTCTACTGTATTTGATAATAATGAAGTGAATGTTGTGTTAAACCCGTTTTTAAACATTTTCTTAAGACCCTTTTGTAATAGTTTTCCCAAATGTCTTACTAGACCCCATACTAATACTAAAGTATGGATATAACCTAGTATTAAAACTAAATGTAGCATAAAAAGACGTTTGTATTTAAGCTGTAAGGAGAGTAATAACCCTCATATACAAAGTTACTATAAGCTGTTCTCTAAAGATCTATCTAGAAATATTATGAGAGCCAAACGTTCATATTATGATAAACTAATTATAAACTCCAATAATAGAACTAAGACCACTTGGAGTTTTGTTAAATCATTGACCGGGAGGAAACCCTATCATGAAATTATACCAAACTTGAGTGCTCCCGATAGATCATATATCAATACTAAAATGATTGCTGAATCCTTCAATAAATATTTTTTATCAATAGCAGAGACCATTACCAAAAGTACACTAAAAAATTGTGATATTCTTGACATATGTAATAAGGCTAATGAATATTTAACTAATATATTTACAACCACTTTCCCTCCGATCAATTATAGTTATGTTACAACAAATAAAATTGAAAATATTATAGACAAATTGAAAATGACCAATTCTACTGGGTATGATGAGATCCCTATCAAAGTATTAAAAAGTTGTAAACATTTTATTACCTCATCCTTAACATACATAATAAATAGATCGTTAGCTACCGGTATATTTCCTGATAGGCTAAAATTCTCTGAGATAAAACCTATATACAAAAATGGTGATAAAAATCTTATCAGTAATTATAGGCCTATATCCTTATTGACTTCCTTTTCGAAGATATTTGAGAGAGTGGTGTTTGTAAGACTTTGTCATCATTTGACTATCAACAATATTTTAGCCAATGAACAGTTTGGATTTCGAAGAAATTTTCCACTTAAAAGGCCATTAATAAATTGCTTGACCTGACCATAACTGCCATAAATGCTGGCCATAAAATGTGGGGGGAATATTTTGTGATTTAAAAAAGGCCTTTGATTGTGTCAATCACAAGATTTTATTATCTAAGTTGGAATTCTATGGTATTACGGGTCCGATGCATAAACGGATAGCATCTTATCTTAAAGGAAGGTTCCAGAGAATTAAATTACAAGGTAATGATAGTAACCTAAATACCTATTCAAATTGGGGCTTAATATCCCATGGTGTCCCGCAGGGATCCATTTTGGGTCCCCTGTTATTCTTGATCTGTATTAATGATTTGCCTCTAGTATTAAATAGGACTTCCTATCCTATCCTCTTTGCTGGTGATACTAGTGTGATTATATCCAATCCAGATCCTCTAAATTTACTGCATAGTGTGACTGAAGTTCTCAATAAATTAAAATTATGAAGAAAGCAGTCTTCTGGGATTTGGCACCGTGTATATGTGGTGTTAATTGACGTTTCGGAGGAACGTATCGCCTCCATCTTCAGGGTAGAAGAAAAAATATAAGAAATCTGCAAGCGAAGGGACCGTGAGAACCGGTAAAAGCAGACAGTCTGCTTTTACTGGCGAAGAGACTGTGAGAACCGGTAAAAGCAGACTGTGGGAGTTTTGTTGTATATATGGCTGATTCATTCATTCATCAGTAATCTGTCAGACGACAGGTCCACAGTCTCTTCCAAAACAGTTCCTCCACTTAATGCGATCTTCTGTTTTTGGAAAGAGACTATCCAGGAAAAGTGATAATGTGGTAGTTTTTCCATTTGCTTTCCACATCGCAGTACAACTGCCGTTCAAACCACTCTGGTCACGCCTGTTGCTATACGAACTTGAACCATCTCGAGCATCATTTGCCCTGTGCTTCAAGTCGCTGCTGATGACGCTGCTTCCGGCATCAATTTTTGGTGTCTCTCTTCGTCTGATGCCTACCCTTTGACCTGTCCAGCAAGGGAGGCCCTACCAGTAGCTACGCTACCGCTGGTATAGCTCTCAGGGTCCTTGGCATACTCAAACCCCCTCACCACGATAAGGTGGAGACACCAACGAGGTGATATGGCTGATATGTTCTTTTATTTTGTTTTATGTTATGAATGCCTTGACTTGTTCCTGTGTGAATGGAATGCTTGTTTTTTGATCTGTGACTCATTCTATATCCAATGGTTGCTTCCCAGCCTGTATCTGGATCTATTTTTGAATTTGAAATAAATTGAATTGAATTGATTAAACAAGTAGTTGTATGAGATCAGGTATTGTGAACCCCTGATATAATCAAGTGAACTTGATGGCTGAGATCATTGTTGTTATACACATAGAAAGTAGACACATTCCCAATATAAACTGTTGTTTAGGGCCATTAGGTGAATGTGATTTAAAAATGTGGGTTGTGGATCAAAATGTAGGCTCTTCTTTCCACCTGCTGTCATGCTGGTTTTGTGCTTGCCTTATTCTTCAACCCTGAAGATGGAGGTGATGATCCTTCGAAATGTCAGTTTACTTTCAATGGACTACATGGTATTATGTCGCAGAAGATAGAATTCTTCATGGTAATAGATGTTTGAAACATATTCTCCTTTTAAGGTAATTTTTTTTAATGTGAAGCAATAATGTGGTGATTGAATGAAATCTGTATTTAGCTTTTGAATAATGGTTATAATGAATGAATTGCAGGAGATAGTCATGTGAAATTTGTTATGGAGATAGAGCATAAATATGCCTGCAAATTCTGTATGAAATGTTGTATGTTATTCAGTAACTCCAAACATGATGAAGGTGAG